GTTTCACGTGTGCCTTGATTCGTGATGAATTATTCATATAAATGATTAATAACACATAAACACCAGGCTGGGTGTTGAGATGTTATTAAAGCTCCTGCAGTGTTTGTTCATAACAGCATGTACGTTGACTGTATTAGAAAAACAATAAGTGGAAGGATGGTGGGCAGTGACACGTTTGCCAACGCTTCCTAATTTCTCATGTCACACTGGTGCTGCACTCCACCAACCCTTTTTTTTTTTTAATCTGACTCTGAGTCTTTTCTGTTCATGTCAGTCAGTTCATTTTGAACAGATTTCTTTCAGTTCTACACCAGTCAGCTGCTTCGGTCAGTAATCTGTGTGTTCTTCATCTTTGATCACTTCCATTCACAGACTGGGCTGACGTGACCTTTGATTCTAAGTGCAGTCTAAAAATAGCCAACACCATTATCACCACTTACTGGATGCAAGTGCGGCGATATGAATGTTGGTTTACCAAACACTGCATGGACGGGTTCTTGTATTAATAGTACAGTAGTGTTGAATCTGTGCAGTAAATGGGTGGATTACAACACAGGCAGTGGGTCACGTGGCTAATCATATGGTGCTAAGAGTGGCTTCCTCAGAGAAAAGAGTTTATGAACTGTAGCTCTGACCTAAATGAGAGTTTTGATTGTAGGATGACTGGGTTTAATTCCATCTACTGCTCTGACTCCAGACTCCAATAGAATTCATAAATCACTGCTGTGGTGTTGAGTGGAAAAGCTGTAGAATTTTTTTAAAATTTTTTTTAAATCCAAATGTAATGATAGAGGTTTTTCATTTAGGATATTGATAAGGTCAAGGATGAGAGGAGCTTAAAGGTGATGCAAACCATGAGTGATGGGTGCCAGGCTGCACCGTGCTGAGAAAGCCAGAGGTGGTCATGTGGCCTGTGGTGCCTTAGCCCCCCCCACCCACTGCCAAGACACTCAGGGACTGTCTCTTAATAAGGTCATTGCTCAAACCCCAGCTGTTCTGTTTTCGTTTCCATTATTTTCTCTTCTCGCTGATTTGTTTGTTGACTGTTTGTTGTGATTGTTTAAAAAACGTTATTCCACATGCTGGTTCGTAGAAGCTGTAAGAGAATCTGAGAGTTTTTTTCACTCTTTTCTCTCACCTTTGACATTTCCCACCCTTTACTATCGATCGAAGCAGGTGGCTGCCCCCTCTGAGTCTGGATCTGCGGGAGACTTCCCCTGAGGAAACAGATTTTTTATTTAGTCGCCTTTATTTGTTTCCTGTAATGACTCTAGAACACACTTTGCTTAAATGTGTCTTTTGCAAATAACACTTTTGACAATGGATTGTTTTTTTTTTTCTTTGACAAAAACAAGTGTGTATTTAGCCTTGGAGAGACTTCCCCTGAGGAAACAGATTTTTTTATTTATTAGCATCTTTATACTTTCATATCTTTTTTTTTAAATGACAGGCCAGTGTAAGATTGCAAAACCTCTAGGAATACATTTCTCTACAGTTTGGTGTAAAACAAGGTTTTATTTGAGGAACTATAAATTCAAAGAGTCAGTTTTTTAATGTGATTTTTTTTCACCCTTTTACACCCACTTTACTTTACTATGGTTTTTATTGACATCTGGCAGCCTGTGTGTTGTATTACTGCCATAAACTGGGAAAAAAAGAATTCTCAACAAATCTAATCCTTTGGTTATTCTTAAAAGTCAAAACTGAAATATTTTCCCTTTATGGTTAGTTATCTCTACTTACTCTCACTTTCTGGTTTGTTACTTCACTTCAAGTTTTTTCATCCAGCTCTCAGCACCTTGATGCTCTCTTCAGTGCTGTGCCTTCAGCCCTGGAGGTTTTGG